AGCACCTAATGTGAAATACTCTTAATTGTTTGTGGGCATAATTATGTATATTTAAAAAACTCACTTACGACAAAGACACGAAAGATGGACAGGGGCTCAAGTCTCACAGAAACAGTCGACCCTGGATTATTGAAGGAACGACTCTTTCAGAACCTTAATTTCCCACATTATGGCAAAGAAACCTGCTGAGTTAGTGAAGATCAGACTAGATACTGCAGCATGCTGCACGGTCTGGTGAAAAGACAGAGACAAAACAAATGTCTTGTTTGCAGACCAGGCTCTGCCAGAGGAGTCAGTGACAGACTGCTGAAGGTTGTGGTATTGAAAAACAGTGCGGCAAGGCCAGAACTCAAAACACAGCAGTGACACAAAGGGCAGCCTGCTTAGTCCCTGCTACCCTGCCCTGTCGTCTTTCCTGAGCAACGTGGCTCGTTTCCTGTCTCTTCTGCCCTCTCAGGTTCACCTCATAGCCTGCGCTCACAAAATCTACCAAGTTCACTTGAGCTCAAAACGTTTGCGAACCTTTCTGAAGTCCACCCATCTGCTACCATACATAAACACGGGTACGAAAATTAAACTAATTCAACTTCAACGCTACAAGATTATTTCAAAAATTATAAAACTACATAATAAGCCACTCATTTTGCTCTAGGTTTTGGACAGAGCAGCTTCTCTCAGGTTCAGCTGCTGTATTTAGAAAATGACAACTAGAAAGGTAAGACACCGATATTTTGTGTTAAAATTGAGCATTATTTTGTAACATTTTTTGGGCCCAGGATTGGTTCTCCCACTGTGTTGCTTGGACTACACTGTAAAGCTTTAAATAAAAGAAGATATTCTGCAAGTACTCATTATCACTAAAAAAAATGCTCTCCTTGCTCCCTCACACCTCTGGCAAATGTTTCAGTGACAGATCGCAGAGATCACATTCATATGCAGGAGCATATTAAGTTGAGATGATTTATGACACGTCAATCTTCAAACAAAAATGTGCTTGTAGTACTAGAGATACATTTTCAACACAGATTCACGGGTCATTTGTTAGCACAGCAAGTATTTTCTTCATCTGTTTGCTCACGCTCATGGAACTGCAGCTCAAGAAGGAAAATCATAACGGCAGGAGTCTCATTGTTTTAACAGCTTATTTTAGTGCTTTCCACCCATCTTCATGACACCATCACTTGTGGTGACATCTTAGAAAAACATGATTCTAAAAACAAAAACACTGGGAAACGTTTATACAATAGTAACCAAACTAACAGTGTCAGGAAGGTGGAGAATTAAATTTGGAAGACAGAGGCTTCAAAACCTTTGATCGCAAAGTGTTTTTGGGATGCCAGATCCCAGCCAAGGACAACAATACAGAGGGACACAGCAGGACCCTTTGGACCCAGTGTCAGGCTCTGCCAGACCAGAGGTAAGAGGATGTTGAGAATGTCTGACTAAAGTAGTCAATCTGGGGACCTTACCCTCACAGGGTGAGTCCTGTACCTTCTGCAAGAGACAACATCGCCCTCACAGGGTGAGTCCTGTACCTTCTGCAGGAGACAACATCGCCCTCACAGGGTGAGTCCTGTACCTTCTGCAGGAGACAATATCGCCCTCACAGGGTGAGACCTGTGTCTTTTGGGGATTCCTGTATCTCCTGCAGGAGGTGACTCTCTGCCCATTTCACTAACCCCACTGGATGCTTTGATGGAATTTTTCCTCATTTTGTTTAAAGGCTTCTGAGGTATTCTCTTTATATAGAACAGCTGATGATATGTAACGTTAAAGTTTTTTCAGAAGGTGTAATGACTAACCATCTTAACTTGAAATTTTAAAGCAATCTTTTTCATTTAATGAAAGGACATTTGCCAATATTTTCCAAAGGGATTAGCTGGCTATATTGCTGGATATAATAATTATTCATCATACTTATCTTCCTGCCATCACACTGCAACCTTTCTGTGCACTTGCCCATTATAGGAATTCAATTACAAACAAACCATTTGTGAAAATTGGTTGTAGACATTAACAACAGATGTCTGGAGAGATAAATGCAATTTTCAAAGATAAATTTTTCCTAATGGTCTCGATGATCATTAAACATGACTGTTAAGAAAAAAAAAGGCATTCAAAAAATCTTGAGCAAACCACCAGACTGAAAAAGAAAACAAATTAAAGGGTACAGACATCTTCTTTACATAAATTAACGTAATGAGGCTCTCCCGCTGGTGCTGATACTTCTCAGGGTTTGGTATCCTCTGTCGATAACCGTAAAAAGGAATGTAAGGGAGTCAGCATTAGTTCCACCTCATGACATTTCCTTGTTAATGAAACAAAACTATGGTTCATAAGAGGTGATGCTCTAGCTCTGTTATGTAAGGAGCCCCACACACCACTACGTAAGCTGAAATCGGAAAAGAAGCGAATTGTATTCTCCAAGTGGAGGCACTCTAGCTCAGCACATGGGGACTAGGGACACATCCCAAAATCCTAGGAAAAACAGTGACAGGTCCTTCACACTCCTTGGGGAAGATCAAGATCTAACTGGGGGTGCTTCACGGACATGTGTGATCCCTGGATGTGATGAGCAGAAGAACTGGCTTATTTTCCAGAGACATGAAGGAATGTCTGCCGCGGGATTTTTACAAGCTGCCCAAAGTTTGTTTCCTGTATTGTTACACCTTAACGAAACAGCTGTCGCGCCTTTCTCCTTTTCACAGATGAAGACATCTTTGAAGACTGTGGAGCATGTAGTCTATCAAGCACACCACAGCACCACTATTCTACATACACAAAAAGAAAGGACTGGGAAATGGTAGCCCGATATTGCAGAAAAACAACGATCTCTCTGCAAGCCTTAAACTTAAGAACGTTGAAAAGACCTTACATTTCCTTCCAGGATTGTCAGATGTTTTCCACTACAACCCATGAGTTAAACACTTTGATTGGAAAGACACTATGCTTATAACATCAGTGCAATTTCACACACGGGTGCCAATATACAGCACTAGAGAAAAGTAAAAGTATTCAGAGCAGTGAGGTTATCTCTCAGAAACGAGGGCCATGTTATTGAATGGCTTGAAAATTGCAGGTCGGGTTGCTGATGGTTGGCTTACAGCACCGCTGGCAGGAGTTCCAAGGACACAGGGTTCACAGGAGGAAGAGGGCAAGCTGAACACACTCAATTAATCTAGGCCACATTTTAATAAACCTCCAACCACATTACACCTCTCATCCCAGACCATTTATCTCCATCTACAACTTAATTAGCACAAAACATGCTTTGTCCTCTGCATGGCCTAGAAAACTCAAATCCCTACTAGTCTCTTACAGATATGTCATATATAGATTTGTTAGCAAGTGCATGTGCATGCTGCTGGTAGATGACCACAAGTCTATTGCTCATCCATCCCAATACCACTAAAGCTTTCTGCGCATCACATACCTTCCAGGTCACCAAAACAACAGTAACAATAAGGCAGAAACACACACAGAAGCAACATCGATCGTGCTGCTTTAGGTTAAACTATGAGTCAATTCTTGTAATTCTTGTAAATAAGATTTACCAACGTGGCAAACAGAGAGACACAAAATCATTATGCACGTGCATGTAGTTAGTGCTCGGGACATTTCGCACAAGAATCTCAAGCCCTCACAAAGCCTCCAGGCAGACCGCGTGAGCACACTGCCCACTAGCTTTTAATGCCAATAATCATTCCATCCACAAGCCACCGAAACGCAGGCAGTGACCCCAATTCATAAGGTCACCTCAAAAAACTGTGGACTTGCTAAGCTATCACTTGATTGTCAATAGACAAGATGCCATCAAACCAGTGTGAGCTTTGATCTTAAAACTCCAAATCTGGATACCCCTGGCGACCTTTCCTCAGTGAGCAGGAGAACAAAGCCTCTGCAAACAGCAATTAATGGAATTAGTGATGTGTGGTTCAGGGTTTTTATTTCACCAAGGCTAAAGGCTCTGAAAAGACTGATCCTGTATGTCAACACTGACTTAGATAAACAAGAATGATTAAAAAAAGAGTCATGTCAAAAAAGAGTTTCTCAGAGGGCTTTGAAAACATCCACAGGCCAATAAAAGTTGTTAAAACAGCATACTGATATTGTTGTCTTGTCTAAACACCCGCTGAAAACTTGAAAAACAAGATGTCATCCTTCTGTATGAGATCATTTTCATCGCCAATACTGCACTTTACATGTTAATCCGCAGGACAAGGCTGGATGCCCTTTTCAGGCTTCGACAGCTTTCTCTTCTTAAAGACAGGATAGTTTTAACATACCGATACTCTGCTTCCTGAAACACAACATCTACGAATCCACAGTGACGCAACACCCAACCAAACCCTGTCTGACCCATTAAGAAACGCAGGTGTTATCATCTGTGCCAGCAGTGGCACCAAGAAAGGAGATTTAATAATAATAATAATTAATTAATAATTGCTTACACTTGTATAGAGCTTTTCTGGACACTCCACTCAAAGCGCTTTACAGGTAATGGGGACTCCCCTCCACCAATGTGCAGCCCCACCTGGATGATGCGACGGCAGCCATAGTGCGCCAGAACGTTCACCACACATCAGCTATCAGTGGGGAGGAGAGCAGAGTAATGAAGCCAATTCAGAGACGGGGATTTGATCAAGGACTCCTCTTGCCACTTGCATTTAGCAATGTATTTGACCAGCATATTCAAGACTGATTTATCTTTATAACTGGTACATGGAAAATGATGTCAACGTTTTATTTCAGACACATGAGAGAAACAAAACAGACATCAGTTGACTGATTGTAAGTTGTGTAAATCACATGGCTGCTTGTGGGCAGCCAGGAGAGCTGCAGAGCTGTATTCTGCTTTCTTCCTGTGAGCAGGACAGCCTGTGTGCGCCCGCTGGATCGCCAGCGCAGACTGCAGCACGTGTCTGACTGGTGCCCAGGATCAGCCCTGAGATGTCTTTCTCGACAGCCTGGAAAAGCAGGAAAGGCACATCTTAACTCACCTCCTTCTGTCGCTTGCTGGCCTCTCGTTTGGCTGCCTTTTCTTTGAGCCTTTTCTCCTGTTAAAAAAAACAAAAGTCCATTAGCACTGTAACAAGAACAAGAACGAGAACAATGTCCCCTGGCACACAGCCACCATTTTCAACAATCCCCCAGCAATTTGTGTTCTTTTGTCCTGTGCAGACTGAGCTACTTAAGGATGAGCCCAAGGACAGGCCATTTCTGCACTTTGCAACAGGCTTGTCCAAATACCAGCTCCGGTTAATGGGGAGGGAAATTCACGAAAGGCAAAGTTTCTGGGGAGGTCAGCCAGAAATCAATGACAAATGCTCCACATTTCAAATAATGATTTTTTATCTAACAGGCTCTCTCCTTTCCAGAAAATGCCTCTTTTCCCTTCAGAACAAGCAAAGAAGGATTGAACAAGAGGTTCAAATCGTAATGTTTCCAAAAAAATAAAAAGGACGGCATAAAAAACAAAACCAGTGATGCACTTAATGTGTCAAACAGCCAATAAACCAAAATATGAGTGCAAATCCCTCCATAGATTGTTAAAACCCGATCAATCCTTTCAGCTCCAAGGCTCAGAAAGGCAGGCACTTGCCCTTCTCTGTCCGCCAAAACTTTCTCACCTCTGTCCCTTCCGGAACGACAAAGGGAGAAAATGTTTTTCAAAGGCAAAGCCGAAGTCTCGCGGGGCTACCCAGAAACATTTGCACTGTTGGCTAAAAGCAGTCAACCATAAAACAATAAAAGTATGCAAATTCATCAGCGAGTCCAGACAGCCCAGGATTAACCCAGAGCCTGCTAGGAGACATCAGCAGGACTCTGGAGGGATCAGAATGGTGCAGAAAGTCAGCTGTGCACTGCGCCTGATTTACTAATAGACCACAGAAATGCAGATTAATGTTTAAAATCTAGGTCTGACTTTACAAGTAAATCCTCCAGAGAGCTATAGACTTATTGACTTAGTGTTTGAGACAATTTTTCCCTATCACAGATGTCTGCGGAGCCAAATGTGAATATGAGGTCTGCAATTAGGACTCTCCATGCACTGTCATTTTTCATCAAGTCAAGGACACTGCAGTTTTTAGTCCAGTATAATTGTGTAATTCAACATTTACAGATCAAACTGATAATTAAAAGGATTTGCATGTGTTTCAGGGTGAAGTTCACTCAAACGCTCACAATCATTTTGCATAATTCTCTCCTCTATACAACCACGCAAATGTAACACTACTTGTCATAGTAAACACTTAAGGTGCTATTTTCACATAGATCAGTACAATTCAGACTTGATTAAATCACTCTTGGGTGCAACTAATTTCTAACATCTCTCGCAATACAACTCATCTCAATTAATTACACACAAGGGAATTCAACACATTTTAAACTGACGTCTTCATGTAAAAAAATCTCATTATATGGATTTCGACTTTAAAGGGATCTGCTGGCGTTTCTATAATTGTATTCTCTGGATGTCAATTACAAAGCTTTACAGCCTGCACTGGAATCTATAACACTCCACCAACAGAGCAAATAAATCACTCGGACAAGACAATAACCGAAGTATAACTCCCAGTGCCGAGCATCAGACCCAGTGACTGTCAAACCGTGGCCTCTCTCTCGAAGTGCAGAAGGCAAAGGCACCCCTATCTGCCTAGCTGCCAGCTGGTTTTGTGGTGTGGGTCAATAATGACTGAGTATTAAGATGAGACCCCCCGCTAGCCCCTGCAGTTGAAGGGAGCTGTTAGAATGCAGTCATGCAAAGAGAACAGACTCCTGAAGTTACACAACGTGCCTCCTGCTTAACTTAGAGTAGGGCATTTAACACTTACAACATACAGTAGGTGAAGTTTTCACTACAATTAGTTCAGAAGGTAAGGGAAGAGTACAACAAGAGTCTTGGACACTAAGATCCTCCCCACCACCACCACCCTCATTTCATTATTTACAACATTTAAGTTGAGGCCTCACCAAAAGCCAGTCCATCCGCATAATAAATGCCAAGAAACTGATCCTACATTTCTAGGACTCCTCGTTGCCACGCTGGAACATTAGAAAGTGAACGGGTAATTTTGTCATTAGTTATGCCTCCTGCTTCTGTTAGCCTTCAGACTATGCGCATGCATGAATATCCCTTTTAGTGGAAATAAATCGGTATTGAAAGGGATTTATTTTATCACTTAAACCAGCAGCTTTAACTAAAATATGAATTATACATCGGCATTGCTCCCAAGAGTCTCTAACGGAACCAGCAATTTAGGGCTAAGATCCTCAGCTTTCGTACAAACTTCTTGCTTCACGATTTGCATTTTGCTCCCAGTCTGCTAAACAGGATGGACATGAAAACAAAGTGCAGGGCAGGGACGTTTGGGCTTGGCCCGTTTCTTCAGACGCGGGTTCGGCTCCAGTGTGGACCACGGCTTGGGGGTGCCGGTACCAACTGGGCCTGCCAGGCACCAGGGTCTACCCCCAGAAAACGGGCAGCTCTGGAACCCCTCCACAGCCGGCCAGCCAGCAAGAGAATGAATTTGTTCTTGTTTTGTATCTTTGTGTCCAGTTTTAGACCTGCCAAAAGGCTGCCAAAGAACCGTTGTTCATCTATCCATTTATTCAAACTCTCAAGCTTGTCATTCGAAGCCTCGAGTGTATCAGATGAAGACGCCAGTCTTGCCCAAGGGTTTGTTGATCAACGCAGCTGAGCTGGCTCAAGCGCAGTCCTGCTGCGGGCTGGGTCCTGGGTTCAATCCCAGCCTGGCCCCACTGGGGTCCAGAGAGCAGGGTCTCCGCCACTTCAATTTCACCAGCAGAGAAGAGTATTTCTGCAAAGGACACAATGCAACCTTCTGGAGACTTAAGGCCATCTCGGGAGACGATGTCTTACAAAAGACACAGTGCGTCTTAAAGGACAGATGCGGGCTGGACTGCGCACAAGAATATTCTGCATGTTCACTCCAACGTGTTATCAGTACAAAAGCAGTTAATCTCTCCTGTCTGAAACGTTTTCCATTTAAGTGTAAAGCACAGTGCACAGTGTAAATGGTTTCTGTACACTTCAGATCTGCACACAGGACGTCTGTGATATTTAGCAGTGCGGCGAAGCGGGAATGATTAATGTGCAAATACACAGTATTAATTGATTTCTGTGCCTCTCTCTCAAACAACTGTCAACACCAGCATACAATGCAAATTAAAATAAATTAGAAATGGCTTTATGTGTAACCCACAATGACACAATGCCTTCAGCTGCAATCACACAATGCAGTGGCTGTGTAGCTACAGAAACGCACTAAGACTCACAACACAGCTGCTGGTCTGTTCTTGTCAGAGTGCATAGACACATTTGAATGCCACACAATCTTTTTTTTTTAATTAGGGCCATTTGCATAAGATAATCCTATAAACCTGAGCTGTTCCCACGTAGATCAAACTGACAAAACGGTCATCGGAATACCTGGAAAGTCCGATTCCCAGTCAACATTAGCTGAAAAGAGGTCAAGTAAAAGGACATTCAGCTGGTGGATTTAAAACAATCTTTGCCACTGACAGAGCCTGGTGAAAACCCTGCCCAGGGGCTGTTTTTGTTTAAACACCCTGTAACCCTATAACACCCTGTCCACTGGGCGTGCAGGAGCAGGCAGTGGAGGCTGTGCTTAACAGCTCCAGTCCCATTCTGAAGAGCAGCCTGGCCAGGGGATGACAGGCTGAGCCTGGAGCCCTCTGCTGTGACATTCTTCTCCATTTAGTTGCTCAATGTCTCTTTTTTTAAGCAAATGCCTGCAAAAGAAAAAAACTGCAGCTTCGCTAAATATAGCTGCATCACAGCTTAAGGCTTTCACAGAATCAGTCATTTGAAATTCAGTGTTTACTCATGACATTACTTTAGCCTTCTTTTCTCAGCCTTTTCTTTTTACTATGCGTGCTATCTGGGTTAGTGTTATGCATCACATATCGTGCAACACAACGGAGCCCTTCTCCGCTCCTCCAGGGCTGCTGACCAGCTGGCTGTCTCGGTCTCTTTAAGTCTCCAGCTTCTCAAGAACGAGGAAAGGCTTCAGCTTGTCCAATCAAGCCATTAATGAGTTGAATTAGGTAATTAAGGGCTCAGGTGGAAGGAAAACAAGATGCCTTCTGGCCCTGCAGGACTGGAGTTCTGCCGCCCTGCTGTAACATATATGTATGTTTTGTCTTAACGGGCTGATGAGAGATGGATATCCACCCTGACTGCAGCACCAATCACATCACTGCATGTAAACTGAGAGCACCTCTGCAACAAAAACAAAAAACCCCAAAAAGTAATTAACAGCTCAAAGCACTGCGATGTAAACGGCACTGAAGCACAGCTGAGACCAACATATCTAACCAATTAGGTGCCTGTGTTTTAGACCTGTGGTCTGTAAAGATACAGCAATAATTCACACAGACACTGAGGATGGAAGGTGCACGTGTGATGCTCCTGAGCACAACGCCAGCAGTACCTTCCTAGTGAGCCTCTTCAAAACAATAGTTTCTGAAACTTATCAGACTGAAACTCCATCTAAACCAAAACGATGCCAACTCTGCAGTGGCTTTGAACCAACCTGAACACAGAGGGGAGGCAGTTCAAACAGCAGGAACGGTTCTTGAGTCTTGCTGTCGTTACAAAAATTCCTCACCTCTGATGACAATTACAAAGCTCTTCAAAGAGGAATCAGAACGTCATTTCAAAATTAACATCTCAGGAGAGGATGTCTTACAAAAACTGATATCCCACGCTGTGCCTTTCAAGGAATATGTTGCAAAGAACGTCGGGGAATGCAATGAGAGACTATTGCCATAGCAAAATTTCCACAGAATAAAAGAAAGGCGGTTACAAATTAAATTTTAGTTATCTCCGCTCTGAAGCATTGTGATTTTTTTTCCCCTCGAGAGACACTTATGAATACAAAATGGAAACACGCAAAGCTTTATCATAATAAAGGAAAAAGTTAAACCAAAACAAAGTCTTTTTTCTTCCTCATTTTACTGTATGCTTTCCTCCTTGTACTAGAACCGTTTTCTCCAACTCAGCATGAGACACGTCTTCCATTCTCTTCCAGTGCTCTTGTAACTGGAGTGTGGGAGCCCGGCTGTGAGGGTCAGGCTTTGAAGGCCTGGCACAAGAAATAACTAGCATCTCAACCGCACCATTTCCAGCAAGTCAGTATATCATGCTCCACTGGGCTTATAAATTAAAAGACACCCGATTCTGCCACTTCAGGAAGTGGATCAACCCCTTCAGGAGTCACAGTGCACGGTTTAGAGCAGGTATTCAAACTGCTGTACCGCTGGGTCCTGTGATACGGTTACAATGCAAGTAACCAGTATAATTACAATCAGACAATGCCTGGGCTATGGCATTTTAATCAAAATGATCCTTCAAGCTGTCAACTTCTGGCACTTCTGCAAAATATTTGGGATTTTTATGAAGACTTAAGAGGCTTGGACCCTAAGGAGGGCTCCTTGCTTGGGCAACAGTTACCAGTTTCAACTTGAAACTCTATAAATATATATGCTGCTGAAAGGACATGTTCAGTACTTTTGATTTTTCCACAGTAATGAATAATGAACAAACCACTAATTTTCCTCTCTCCTAATTAAGCAGTTTTAAAAATTTTGTTTGGATTTACTACAGAGATTATCAGAAATAAAGCTTTTCATCCTGTAGATCAGAATGGCAACCAAATGCTAATTAGTGGTGAACTCGAGAACGGACTTATTCAAGCATCCTTGTTACTATACTTCAGGTTTGATACTGGATTAGTGTTATTACAGTGGATGTTTAACATGACTGCAAATGCATTTTAACAAAACAATCACGTTTCTTCACGAGCAGACTCACACGAAGACACACACAATGTCTTTCAATGGTGTAGAACACAAGGCCATTATCAGGGATGATAATTTATGATGCTCAGGTCAAAAATAAAGGCACCTTTTACAGAACAGTCAGAGAAAGTACACTGTAGTTCATTTCAGAACAGGCTGCTGAATCCCAACACTGAGGTTTAGGATCATGGTTATGAATGTAAATGTGTTTTTCGTGACAAATGCAAACTATTCAAAACATCACTGTAACTGCTCTGGCAATTAATTTCAGTATTTAGCAAAATCATAGTTACGTTTTTTTTATGAAATACTATGAGCACAAGCACTTAGAGTTCCCCTCTCAAATTCGAGGGTGGCAGTTGTTACAGCATGTTCTGTTTAATCATTGTTTGTTATTTTTCTGTGAACGTGATGAATTGTTTAGGTTATGCCCAACTGAATTTATACATTTCCTAAGGAATTAACACAGCAACTTGGAAAACACAGGTGAAAAAAGACAACACAAAGACATCTACAGGTATACATAACTAAAAATGGCCGACAGGTTAACAAAATACATGCCTACATTTAAAAAATAAATCATACTGCAGTCTGTCAGCAGGACTGATTAAGAGCAGAATTGTTGCTGACTCACCTTGTGTTTCTCCTTTACTTTTCTCCTGTATTCTTCTTTGTCCAGTTTATCCTCTTCAAGCAGCCTCTGCCTGGCCTTGTCCACATTGATGCCCAGAGTCTCATCGTCCTCATCGTCGTGCGGCACTGCCGTCTTCTGCGCAGGAGGCCACTGCTGCACCACCTGAAGGACAGCACACCCTGCTCAGGAGAGTTCAGATGAAAGACTGCACACCCTGCCCAGGAGAGTTCAGGCGAAAGACTGCACACCCTGCTCAGGAGAGTTCAG